TTCTGCTGTGATCTCAAAGCACTTGCCCTCAGGATGGGGAGACACCGGGGTGGGGGCTAGCGGGGATGCCGGGCCACGCGGCCCCTCCGCTCGTTCTGACACAGCAATGACATGGCTCACACCGTGCGGGCCTGCCTCCTGGGACTACTCTTCTCCCGCCTCCCGTTGGGGAGTCTCCCTAAATGCCTTAAACTGCTGCGCCTCGCTCCCTGTCATGATTCTGGGGCTTCCTCTGTGGGGCTGTGCTCTTGGACTGCGGCCCCTCAGTCCTTAACTGGAAAGTGACCCTCCACTGCCCCCCGGAGCCCATCTGGACAGCACAGCCCCAGTCCGGTTGCAGCTGGCTGTTTCCATGTCTGGGGTAGCGGATCCCCAGGGCAAGGGTTGGAGCCAAGCAGGGGCTCCGAGCTGCTAGAGGGGGGGGTCAACCTTGGACCAAAGTTGCCTTAAGCCCAGTCAAGTGAAAGGGACTCAGGGGAAGGGAGCGGGCCGCCTGCTGGCAGCTGCCGGGCCGGTGCTGGTGAGGGGGTGCCGTGGCTCGGTGCCCTACCTGGGGCCCAGCAGCCATCTCTCGACCGTTCTCTCCCCTGTGGCCCTTATTCCTGTAGCCACTGGGCTAATCTCCAAACTTCGAGCTGTACATAGGGCTTCTTCATGCACAAGACCCCGGCCCTCATTGATCTCCCGTAAAAGCCTGCGTGTGCATAGAGCGCCCCCTCCCCTAACCCCCGTTCCTGCCCTGAGCTTCGACTCATATTTATCGTGGACCAGCTCTGACTCGAGTGGGCAGAGGGAGGCAGCCCTGGGCCTGTGTGCTTCCTGTCCCCTGAACGGTTCTTTCCTTCTGAAGTAAATGCACGCGTATAAATAAACGAATAAATGCGGTTTGTATCTGAGCTTGCCTCCCCGTCTCTGAGATTGTTCTGGTGGGAGGTGGGGTCGCCTCTGGGGCTGGGACTCCTGGAGGGACTCTGGGGTCCCGCAGCCACATGGATGCTGTACAGCCCACTGTCCTTCTTAGCGTCAAGTGAGGCCTGGACACAGGACTCCGCAGGCCCCGTCCCTGGCCACACCCCAGGGAAAAGCCGTTTTAGGGGACACGCTGAGCCTTCCAGGGCTCCCAGCCCAGAGAAGAGCAGCTACACCTGGGGCAGGGGCTGGGCCCAGGGCAGACTTGACTGGTGCGGGTCCCTGGAGAACTGTGCTCTAGAAACCACGGGAGGGGTGGGCGTCTCCCTTCCTGTCCCCAGGGAAGCCTTTGATCACAAGGACAGTCTTCCCACACACCTTGGCCCTCAGGGGGAGCAGGCACCCAGGAGCAGGAACCATCGGACAGGCAGAGAGAAAAGGGAGGGGCTGGATGGGGGAAGTCTGGCAGGTCTGGGCACCAGCACCCACTCCACCTCCCGAAGGAGCACCAGATGAGATGGCACACATCTGCCTTTATTGTGAGCAGCAGGCGGGACACCTCCAGCAACAGTAAAAAAATTAATGTACAAAAGCAGGGATTCAGTGCAGCTGCCTGGCTGGAACCTGAAAGAGGAGAGAGGTGTCACCGTGAGACCACAGATCCTCATTTCCACTCTGACCGAGCCCCGTGCTCCGGGGGCAAGGGCTGAGGGCACACGCCCTTGAGGCTGAGCCACCAGAGCCAATTCTCGTGACCGGTTTGGTGGATTATCCGCAGCACAGTTGTTTGACTTTCCTTCCTCACTTAATCAGGGTTTATTTCAGCGGCCGAAACATTCCTAATTGAAACAGTCCTCCTGGCAGCAAGTTTGAAGTCCCAGACCCCGGCCCAGCAGTCTCTCCAAGGTCCTGGTGTGTGAGTGTGCGAATGGAATGCACAGCCCGTATAGTACACCCCAAAGCCAGATCGCGGCCCTGGGCAGTGTACAGAATTTGGGAATCACAAAGCAGGTCACACTCAAATCCCCATCAGGAGCAGGGGAAGGGGCACACGTGTCTGCTGTCCCTATCCATTCTGCTGAGCCCGTCTCCATGAACCCAGGGGTCGTGCAGGCCCGAGGACCCCCCTGATGTGGGGGGTTTCTCCAGTGTCCCACCCTGTCGCAGCTCTTACCTGTGGAGCTCACACGTAGATGCCAACCCAGAGCAGCAGGAAGAGGAACCCAAAGCCCATGAACAGCGAGGCCACCAAGGAGATGAGCAGCTCCTTGTAGACGTCCCGCGTGTACTTGGTGGACGTGACCTCATAGCTGGCGAGACGGTTAAGGAGAAGCTCAGGCATGGCCTGCACGGAGCAGGAGGTGTGGCCGCTGCAACTCGGGGAGAAGGCACGGGCTACCGATTTCCGGGAGGTTGGTCCGGCTTCCCGCAGCCAGGCAGAGGCCAAGAGCGACCTAGGCTGGTGCTCCATGCAGCCCCTCTACTACCCGGGAGGAAAATGGGGCCCAGGGGGGTTAGGTACTTTCCCAAATAAACGGTGGAGCTGCACTAGTCCTCCGACCCCCTGGCACCAGAGGGCACCCCTTCATCTACTCCTGCATTTCCTCTAGTCCAGCCGGACCCTCTGCTCACTGTCCTAGGCATCTGAGGAGCAAACCGAGCTCACCGGAACTTGAAAAATACGGCCACACCCTCACTTTGGAACAGCAACGGCCTTCTCTCAACCTCCCCTCCCCACACCAGGAAACACTGGCAGGGCGCGTGCACCCAGCATGGCTCCTGCCTCCGTCTCCCACATCACCCACTCCGGCCCACCTGCGGCTCAGCGGGAAGGATACACGAAGAACCAGGCGGTGAAGAACATGCCAATGGCCAACAGCACCACGGTCAGGTGGGGGAAGACGGCGGGGTTCACGGGGCTGGTGTACCTGCTCATGGCCTCGAGCTCCTAGGGGCACAGAGATCAGAGCCAGGACAGAATGCCGGCTTCAGCCTGGGGGCCCAGCGGGCCGTCAAGGAGCCCCAGGCCGCTGTGACTGACCGCCTGCCAGCCTGGGGAATGTGGGAATCCTGCACCAAGAAGTGGTGCCGCTTGGGGGTGACACCTGCATCTGAAACAGCGGTGGCCGGTGTCACCCCCTGTGAATCAGGGCGGCCGAGAGGAGGCTGGGACGCCGAAGGTAGCTAATTAGCTGTGCGTCAGTGAATGGCCCTAACGTTTTCTGAGGCGACTGACCTCTATGGGAAAAAAAATGTAATGAGAGGTATGAACTCCCCGCCTGAGATAAGCCACATGGAAGAAAAAGCCTGGCCTTGGCCGGGTTGCTCCATGGGTTGGAGTCTTGTCCCAGGATGCCAAGGTTGCGGGTTCGATCTCGGGGCAAGGCACATAAAAGAACCAACCAATGGGGGCGGGGGGTGGGGAGATGAATCACCAATGAATGTATAAATACGTGGGACAGCAAACGGATGTTTCTCTCTTAAAAAAAAAGTTTTATGGACCCCCATCTGTCTGTGGACACTGGACTGGTACCCAGATCCCAACCTCTCCTTCTGCGTTATCCTCACTCTGTTATTATGGAATCTCAGGGTGATCTCAGCTTCTCCTTCTGCATTATCCTCACTCTGTTATTATGGAATCTCAGCCTCTCCTTCTGCATTATCCTGCTGGGGTCCAACCCCAGCAGGTCCAGGGGTCCCCAAAGGTGTGGACGGAGTCGGATGAACAGACAAAGAAGCTGCCAGCATTTATAAAGCCTGAGACAAAGAGACTCACTGGTTCTCTCATTTTGGGGACCCCTCCCCAGGGGGGTAGTCATTTGGGAACCCCTGTGTTCTGTTGTCTTGTTACATCTGTATTTATACCAGTTGATTCCAATCCTATCAATCTCTATTCCAAAGGTTAGGGCATGTCTTATCTCCATTCCAGGGAGTAAAGATTATGTAGCTTAAGCGTGATTGTTCGTAATTAAAGTGATTAACTACCCGCCTGGCACTTAGTTAAGGGATTTTCTTCCCTCCCTAACTTCAGGGAAAAATCCCTACCTGGGGAAACAACCTTTCTCGGAGAGGTGACCATGGTTAAAACACATAGCGCTAAGGGGAGCAAACATATTAAGAGCAGGATGCCATATACGCCAGGGCCCCTGAAACATATGCTGTGCAGATGTTTCTTCCCTGCAGTGACTGTGTCAAGCAGCAAGGACGGACCAGCTTCTGGCATTATCCCATGTTGTCATGGAATCTCAGGGTGGTCTCAGCCTCTCCTCTGCATTATCCTCACTCTGTTATTATGGAACCTCAGGGTGATATCAGCCTCTCCTCTGTATTATCCTCACTCTGTTATTATGGAACCTCAGCCTCTCCTGCATTAGCCTCACTCTGTTACCCTGGAGTCTCGGGGTCCACAGGCAGAAGACACCAGTGAAAATCCTGTCTCCACTGAACAGCACGCGCCTCCATTGGGGCGTTACAGCATCTCACAGTGGGTCCGATTCAGGAAAGATGACAGATGTCCGAGCGTCCGTGGGCCCGGCTCCGGCCTGGCCTAGGGTAGTGGCTCCGCAGGTGCTTGTCCCCTTCCCCGAGTTCAGGGGCGATGATGAGGTCCCGCCCGTCAGGGAGGGCTGTGAACACACAGGTCTGTGCGGTGCTGACCTCCACTGTCCCGCAGCCAGTGCTTCTAAATCCCTGAACAGACGACTCCAGGGAAGCAGACCGGCCCCGTTGTTCCAGGAGACACTGGAATTCAACTCCTAAACATTTACGCCCTCCCCCGCCCCGTCCCCGCAACACGACAAAGACAATGGCTGCCTTTTACGGGGCCTCCGTTGGCAGGCCCCGTGTTCGGCGCTGGGAATACAAAGATGAATAGACGTCGTTTCAGGGCGGGAGGCCGGGCGGAGGGGGGTCGCGGGGAGGCGTGGCCGCGGGCAGCGGAGCCCAGGAGGGCGCGGCAAGGAGCCTGCACTGAGCCGGTGGGCGCCCCCGGGAAGAGCCGCCGGCCGGGGGTTCGCCAAGCTCCCCGG